TTAATCCAGGTAACCTTTTCTAGGCAAAAGAAACCCAAAAATTACCCTCATTAACAGGGGATTAACCCTTAAAAGCCCCTGGAGCGCCCCTGCCCGCCTCTTTCAATTTAAGGAATTTCAAGTTAAGAAACTGCAATTTAAGAAAATAAACCCAGCACCACTTTCTACCATAGCACATACAATACTAATTCAATATTGGTAAAAATCCACTCACAAATACCATTTTTCCCCTCGGTGCCCGGCCCCTGGAGCGCCGTGCCCCTTTCAATTTAAGCAACTTAAATTTAAGAAACTTCAATTTAAGGAACTTAAACTTAAGGAAATTAACCCAGCATCACTTCCTACCGTAGCACGCACAATATAAACTTCAATATTTTTTACAAATACCATTTCCCCCCGGTGCCCAGCCCCTGGAGCGCCGCGCGGCGCCGCTGCCCGGCGGCGAGGAGGGCGAGTACATGCTGGCCCTGAAGCAGGAGCTGCGCCGCGCCGTGAGGGGGCTGCCCTACTTCGTCAGACCGGGGGCTCCCCGCAGAGGTACCGGCACTGCCCGGTGTGCCCGGTGTGCCCCGGTGTGCCCTGGTGTGCCCGGTGTGCCCCAGCCCCGGGGGGCAGGGAGGGAGCTCACCCCAAATCCTCTGCCCCGCGGCTCCACGGCGTGCCCAGAGCTCCCCTGAGCCCCCAGCCCCCCTGTTTTATTCCCCCCCACCCCCATTTTATTCCCATTTAATTCCCATTTTATTCCCATTATTTATTCCCATTATTTATTCCCATTATTTATTCCCATTATTTATTCCCATTTTTTTATCCCCTCCATTTTATCCTCCCTATTTTATTCCATTATTTATTTTCCCCACTATTTATTCCCACTTTTTCTCCGCCCGCATTTTATTCCTCCCATTTTTCATTCCCATTTCATTCTCGTGCCATCATCCATCCCTCCCCATGTGTGTCCCACGGGTGTCCCCAGGGTGGGTGTCCCCAAAGTGTCCCCAAATCCCCCCAAATTGTCCCCAAATCCCCCCAAATTGTCCCCAAATCCCCCCAAATTGTCCCCAAATCCCCCCAAATTGTCCCCAAATCCCCCCAAATTGTCCCCAAATCCCCCCAAATTGTCCCCAAATCCCCCCAAATTGTCCCCAAATCCCCCCAAATTGTCCCCAAATCCCCCCAAATTGTCCCCAAATCCCCCCAAATTGTCCCCAAATCCCCCCAAATTGTCCCCAAATCCCCCCAAATTGTCCCCAAATCCCCCCAAATTGTCCCCAAATCCCCCCAAATTGTCCCCAAATCCCCCCAAATTGTCCCCAAATCCCCCCAAATTGTCCCCAAATCCCCCCAAATTGTCCCCAAATCCCCCCAAATTGTCCCCAAATCCCCCCAAATTGTCCCCAAATCCCCCCAAATTGTCCCCAAATCCCCCCAAATTGTCCCCAAATCCCCCCAAATTGTCCCCAAATCCCCCCAAATTGTCCCCAAATCCCCCCAAATTGTCCCCAAATTGGGATTTTGGGGTTTGGGATTTGGGGTTTGGGATTTGGGGTTTGGGATTTGGGGTTTGGGATTTGGGGTTTGGGATTTAGGATTTTGAATTTGGGGTTTTGGATTTGGGATTTGGGGTTTTGGATTTGGGATTTTGGGTTTTGGATTTGGGATTTGGGATTTTGGATTTGGGATTTTGGGTTTTGGATTTGGGATTTGGGATTTTGGATTTGGGATTTTGGGTTTTGGATTTGGGATTTGGGGTTTTGGATTTGGGATTTGGGATTTTGGGTTTTGGACTTTGGATTTTGATTTTTGGGATTTTGGATTTTGGGATTTGGGATTTTGGGATTTGGATTTGGGATTTGGGATTTTGGGGTTTGGATTTGGGATTTTGCATTTTGGATTTGGGATTTGGGGTTTTGACGCTCCCTGAGCCCCCCCCCAGAGCCTGGAGAAGAAGGAGGAGGAGGTGACATCAGAGGAGGAAGAGGAGAAGGAGGAGGAAGAAGAGGGAAAGGAGGAGGAGGAGGAGGAGTACGATGAGGAAGAGCACGAAGAGGTAAAAAAAAGGGGGGGAACCTGGGGGGTTTGGGGGGGCTCAGGGGTGCCCGGGTGCCACCGTGTGCCCCCCGTGTGCCCCCCAGGAGACCGACTACGTCCTGTCCTACTTCGACAACGGGGAGAGCTTCGGGCCCGACAGCGACGACAACGGCGACGAGGCGGTGTACTGACCCCGAAAGGGGCACCCCAAAAATGGGCACCCCAAAACTGGCACCCGAAACGGGCACCCCAAAACTGGCACCTGAAATGGGCACCCCAAAAGGGGCACGCCAGAACTGGCACCCCAAAACGGGCACCTCGAAATGGGCACCCTAAAAGGGGCACCCCAAAAACGGGCACCCAAGAGGGGCACCCCAAAACTGGCACCTGAAATGGGCACCCCAAAAGGGGCACGCCAAAACTGGCACCCTGAAACGGGCACCTCGAAATGGGCACCCCGAAACGGGCACCCCAAAACTGGCACCTGAAATGGGCACCCCAAAAGGGGCACGCCAGAACTGGCACCCCAAAATGGGCACCTCGAAATGGGCACCCTAAAAGGGGCACCCCGAGATGGGCACCCCAACACTGGCACCTGAAATGGGCACCCCAAAATGGGCACCCCAAAAACGGGCACCTCGAAATGGGCACCCTAAAAGGGGCACCCCAAAAACGGGCACCCCAAAATGGGCGCCCTAAAACGGGCACCCCGAGATGGGCACCCCAAAACCTCGAAATGGGGACATTGGGGTCCCTTTGGGGACATTGGGGTCCCATGGGGGACATTGGGGTCCCCTTGGTGACATTGGGGTCCCTTTAGGGACATTGGGGTCCCCTTGGTGACTTTGGGGTCCCTTTGGGGTCCCGTCCCCCCCCCGGGGTCGCGGGGTCCCCCCGCCGCCTGTCATTCCCACTGTCACCACCAGGTGGCGCCGCTGCTCCAGGCCCGGAGCTGGGGCGCGACCCCTCCCCAAATTTTGGGGTTTTTTGGGTGGATTTTGTGTGAATTTTAAAGGATTTTTTTGTATTTTTGGCTCCGTTTGGTGGGGTTTTTTTGCGCGGGGGGTGTTGGGTAAGGGGTTTAGAGGGATTATAAATGGGAAAAGGGGTTTTGGGGGGATGAAATGTGGTTTTTTTGAGGTGGAAAATGTGTTTCTAGAAAGAAGAAAATGTGTTATTTCGGGAGGAAAAGCTTTATGGGGAGTGGAGAGTGGGTTTTTTGGGGTGGAAAAAGTGGGTTTTTGGGACATAAAAGTTTTTTGGGGTGAGAAGGGTGTTTTTTGGGGCGGGAAGGTGGATTTTTGGGGTGCAAAGGTGTAGCTTTGGGGAGGGAAAGGTAACTCCTTGTGGGTCGAGATGTCTTTTTTTGGGGGAAAAATGTATTTTTGGGGACAGAAAAGTATGTTCCAGGCGGAAGGTGCATTTTTGAGGGAAAAAACTTTGTTTTATTATGGGGGAGGTGTTCTTTGGAGGGGCACAGTGTATTTTTTTAATCATATTTCAGGATTTTAGGGGATAAACTGGATTTTTGGGGACGAAAAGGTAGATTTTTTTTTCCCAGAAATGACTTTTTAGAGTGAGAAAATGTGGATTTTTGGTGGGGAGAGCCCCTTTTTGAAGCTATTTTTGACAGGGGGGGAATGTTTTTGTGGGGATAAAGATTCTGGGGAGTTGGGGAGCCGTTTTGAGGAAATGCAATGTGAATTTTTTTAGGAGGAAGGAGAGGTTTTTTCTCCCGGGGGGGTGTGTTTGTGCCTCAGGGCTGCTCACATGAGTGTCACATGCTGCCCCCTCTCCCCCCCCTCAACCAGTTCCTGTTCGAGCCCAAGAACGTTCCAGCAATTGTGGATTTCCTTGCTCCTCTACCCTTTTTATCCCTTTTTTCCCCTTTTTCTCCTCTTTCCACAAACAATCTGTCGCTTTTTGGGGTGGGTTTTGTCCCCCCCAACCCTGGGGAAGGATTTGGGGCAGGGCAAGGTGCCCAAATCCCTCGGGTGTTGGTCACCCCCATCAGTGTGCCTCAGTTTCCCTGGATTTCCTTGCTCCTGTACCCTTTTTTCCCCTTTTTCCCCTATTTCCACAAACAATCTGTCGCTTTTTGGGGTGGGTTCTGTCCCCCCTGAGCCTGGGGAAGGATTTGGGGCAGGGCAAGGTGCCCAAATCCCTCGGGTGTTGGTCACCCCCATGGGCGTGCCTCAGTTTCCCCGGTGCTGTGGGGTCTGCCCCATTTCTGTGGCTTCCCCCTTGATCCCATCCCATATTTCCCACCCCGGAATTCCTTCCCTGCTCCCCTGCCAGTGCTCCCAGTTTAGCCCAGGCCCTTTCACCCAGTTGGAACCGGGCAGGAATTTCCAGAGCTGAGAGCTGATCCCAAACCGTGGGGAAGGGGAGAGAAATTTGGGGTTTTTGGGGTTTTTTGATCCCCTAAAAGACCAGGGGGGGGTCAAGCTGAACCCCCAGAGCTGCTCTGGCACAAAGGCCAGCCCCAGCAATAATGGGAGAGGTTTATGACCTTAATTACTTTAATTAGGGCTGTAAATGGGGAGGGGAGCAGGGTTCAGCCCCGTGCTTTGGGGTGTGGGGGGATTTTTGGGGGTGGAACTTTTTCCAGGGGGGGGAAAAATCAACATTTGAGTGTCTGCCTGATTTTTAGGGACTTTCTGTGCCCCCCTTTTCTTCTCTCAGCCCAGCCCAGAACATTTTGACCTTTTCCCTCCTTGGCCAGCAGCCACAGCAGCTCCGGTTCCAAAAAAAAACAACTGAGGCACGGACTGGGGGGGGGGATTTTG